TTGCTTATCCTGAAATCAAGGAAAAAGATATTTGATGCTTATGTTGCTGTTATATTAATACTTCTTACTCTCAAATCTTAAGCATTCAACAAATTTGTTGGCCATCTCTTTTTCTTTGGCTGACCATTAAGATAAGTGTTTAGTGATTTTCCTACTGCCTTTTATTATAATTTTTGCTATTTTTCCATTCATGGCTCTAGATGGTACCTAGGTCTTACACTAGGGAATTTGGTTTTCTTCCTCAGCTGAAAAGACAGAAAAATTCAGCTGTTACTAAATAATATCTGTTGAAACAAAACAAAACACCACTTCTGTGCCCAGTATAGAATGTTTCTTTTTTAAGTCCTGCCTGCCATTATCTTCCACAGCCTCCAAGACCTGCCAGGCCACAGCTGAATGGGAGGTCTCCTCTCTTTCTTTGCCCTGCTCCCCCTCAGCCCAGATGGTGCACGGCAGAGGTGACTCATACTGTCACCTCACTTGTGGATTTTAGAGGAATGACAGCACTCGGAGCATTCTTCTCCCAGTAACTGGACCACAGAAACACAGATTGGGGCTGAGTCACTGTGCCAGATTACTGCAGGCTCTTCCGACCCACTTATTTTCCTGTCATTTTGTGACATGTTTAGAAAATCTTTTGCTCATGCTGTGTATCCATTATGAGCTATTTTATCTTTTTTGGGGGGCCAACAGAGAGTCGGCTTTTAGGTTTTGATGACATAGCTTGAAATACCAAGAGAGAAAGGAATAATACATGCTTATGTGATATCCCCAAGCATACAGAGGGTTTCTTGCCACAAGCCATCAAGAAACAGAAAAGCAGAATTACAGACAGTGTGTCAGGAATACATGAAAGCACACTGAGAATTCATCCTTAGTTCAGTACTATTGCAATTACTCCAGGAATGGATTTGGGTTCTTAATGAGAGAAATGCATTATCATACTCATAACTCATGCGTTTAAGATTGCTGGGCAGACATTTAAAGCTCAGCTCTGGGGGAAAAACTGACATATTGCAACTGCTGTGTGCTTTACTGATGTTTTTTCTACAACATCAAAAACAATTTCACAGGGACTAGAAAGAATGTTCTATCTATTCCAGAGAACAGAGAGTTCAGCAAAGTTTGTTTATATATTGCAAATTTTATGCAGATGTATCAAGCAGCTTTGCAGATAACAAACAGGCCCAGAGGGTGTCATGCTGTATCTATAGGGAAAAAGCCATTGCATTCTGCACTGACCAACAACCTGTCTGTGCTGCTTGCTCTCCTTCAAGAAAAGCACCAGGTTCACAAGGAGCATAACAGTGCTTTTAAATAAGCTGGACAATAGTCTGTGTAACTTCTCCTCTTGCCCAGCTTGAATTCTGATAGATTTGACTTACACATAGGAGAGAAAGTGCTGCAGAAATAGTCTTAGTGTGTTTCTCCAGCTTCTCTATAGAAGGTTAGGGGACCCAAGGGAGTTTTGTTTTCTCTACTTTGCAGATTCCTGCTTTCTTTAAGATTCCTAAAATCTGTTTTTACTTCCTAAAGAGGTCTGACAGTAATACAAATATTCTCTCAGTCAAACCCTGCTGACTATGCAGCTTTCAAATGAGAAATCTACTGGGATTTGATTTTTTTTCCCAGAAGCAGTATTAACCTTTCCTGGGCCTCCTGTAGCTGCTCACATTCAAGAACAAGACTGTAAGGGGGAAAAGAGAGGAAGGTTCGTAATACCAGTACAGATTGAATGGCCTTCAAGAGCTTTTTTTCGCAGAAGTTCCTCCCCTTCCCTTTTCTTTGAGGGCAACAAGGTGACTCTTGCCCAGGACAGCAAGTGTAGCCCTACATTCAATATTATTTGCTAGCAGATATGTGATGTGATTTGTAGTTACAAGCAACTACACCTCCTACTTCCATTAAGCCTTCACATGTTTTTTATGAATACGTCTCACAGCCCTCGTTTAGTCTTTTAACCATATCTTTTTATATTTTTTCCTAATCAGCACCATGGAGTGGATGAAACACAAAGGTTTTTTGGCACAGATGGGAGGAAAGATGGTCCATGTGCTTAAGGGGAGTGGCACCAATGGTGGGTTTAGTCTTTGTCCATCATCAAAACTCACTAGCCTACAGACCTGGAACTCCAGGGAGGTCGTTTGGCTTATGACTTTTGGAATTCAGATTGTCACAGAGCTGTTACAGCCCTTAAGTGATAGGCCACTTACTTACTTCTCTCCTGTGAGTTACAAGGCAGACACAAAGTTTAGGTCTCAGAAAAAACAGATGCTAAGAATGTATAAGGAGAGTGCTAGCTATATACTCTGCAGTCAGATTAAAAAATATTTAAAATAATGGGAGGAATTGCAACTACAATTGCAATATGAGGCCAGTACCTTTGTCACAAATTGAGCATAGGGGCAGTAGGGACTACTGAACATCAACAATCTTGCTTACTTGGAACATACTGCCAACATTCTAAATTCCTAAATATCCTGAGAAAAGAGAAGTAACATTAGCTTTTGGGTATTCCTTGAGGAGGGCAAGGAGCCAAAATGATACAGTGAAGTATTTTAATTAGTGTCTTTCAGATCTTCCCAGAACGATGCCCAATCTACCTGATACAAAAACAAACAAAAAAGAATATCCTCTCTTTCTATGTCGTGGAGATCTCTTTTGTAGAAACTCACTGTTCTCTTCGCTAGTTGAGGATCTGGCCCCTATGTATCATTCGAATACAGCAGATCAATACTGAACACGTTTCTAACCAAAAAACTGTTGTTTTTGTTAACCATAGTAATTTTTCTCAAATATATTAACACTCATTATATTAATATGACACCCAACTGCATGAACATCAAATGGATAAGGAGCTGTGAGGCTTGTTCACATCCCAGCACATTTTGAATATTAATTCTCCTGAGGGGATAGTGTTTAAGATTGTTAATTGATAACAGTAATTTCAGTAGCATTTAGCTTGATGGATCTCAAAAGTAAAATATGCTTTGCTTATAATCATCATGAATAATATGGGGAGACCAAGTAAGGAATAATCATCAGTAGAAATGTCTCTGCCTCTAAGTATCCTAAACACATGCAACAGTGAACCATGGACTAGCCCTGAGGCTAGCATGCTGATCTTCCCCGTATAAGTAAATCTTACAAGACAGATGTATCGTGGGAGAGCAGATCCCCACCAGAGGTTACAGTAGCACCTAAACAACAAAAAGACATCAGCAATAAAGATTATTATCAGAGGTATTTCACTGTCATATTTTGGGAAGAGAGAAGTAAAAAGGCAGCAGGAATAGCTGTCATAGAATCACAGAATCATTTTGTTTGGAGAAGACCTTTAAGATCATCAAGTCCAACCATACACAATGAAAGTAGCAGAACAGGCAAGATGGAGTTAACCAAAGCAGCAAATAATAAAAGGATCAACATTTTTTAATAACACCAGCAAAGCAGCTGAAGGACAGCTCCATGCTGAGACCTGCATTCCATACAGAAGCAGCAGGGAGAATAACAGCTCTTAGGTTGTGATTAAAACCTCTTTTTGTGCCAGAAACACCTACTTTCTTCACTCCTCACTTAATTCAATAATTTGACTGCATTATCCTTTCTGTGCTTGCTCTCACACACACATTCTAATCTCTTGGGTTTCCTCACTTGAAATACCACTGTCACTACCCATGTTCTGATAGCACTTCAGCTACCTTCAGGTGCTTAGGCAACAGGCAATCCACCCTTCAGGCATAGGATTATGAAACAAGGACTCTTGAGATCTATGGGCAAGCATAGTGTTGGTGACATCCGAGTTAAAGAATGTGCAATTAATTACAAAGGCTGGTTTTTTGTATTGTTCAGGGCATAATTTCAAAATGGAAGCCCCTGATGCAGCCCTCAGAACCAACACCTGAGCCTTGGCTGCCAATATGGCTCAGAGACTAAAATAAAACATTTGTCAGGAAGCTAATGCTGAAAGTTGCTAGTTTCCAGGGGAATAATTCAGCATAACAGCTCTCAGGATAGGTATCAGTTTCAGTAAGAACTGAATGTGCAGTTTCTGCTAATGTTACAGATTATTTTTTTATCTGTCTTCTGTTTCTTGACATTAATGGACTTTCTGCACACATCAAGGATTTGAAGCGCTCACGTCAACCATGAAAGTCATTCACCCAAGGCACAGACCTCAACATAGATGTCAAATTATGAGTTTCCAGATCTCCGGATCTTGAGTCATGAGTAAGGTCACAAAAAAAGTTGGTAGTGGAATATAAACCTTGTCTTGGCTGTGCCAAATAATGTATGGGCTTCTGCTGCCTCTTCCCAGGCTCCCTGTTATTCTCACCCTTGCTCTTTTCCCTAGTGAAAACTGTCGCTGCAGTAAGTGCAATGCCACACCTGTCTTTCATGACAATTAAATATACAGATGCCCATTCCACAATGTCCAGTGACACTGGGGTGGGGGGAAGGTGTTCTCAAGATGTGGCAATGCTTCTCACTGTCCTACTCTGTTAAGTGTTGTTAGTGTCTGTAATAAATGTGTGTTCTTTTTTTTCTTCCCCTAACGAGTCTGCCTTTTGCTCATGACCATGAAGGGTGATTTTTTTTCCCCATCCCAGTCCTATCTCGAACCCCAAGCCTGGCTCTCTGTACCTTCTTATTGCCAGAAGAGAAGGAAGAGAGAGTGGCTGCGTGGTGGTTGGCTGCCAACCAGGCTCAAACCACGATGTGTAAAATAATCTGCAGTAACAGATATAACCTACACACAAATTAGATCTCAGTAAGACAAGTAATCAAGGGCTCAACAGACATTTAGTATTAAATACCTTTTGCTGTTACCATTGGTGAAAGAACAGTATCAGTATCCCAAGGTTAAACCTCTGCATTTCAAGCTGATGCACAGGTCCCAGGCAAGGGACAGTATCATATATTCAGATGAGATCTGGCTGATTCCATCAATACAGGATGGAATTTGCATGTGTCTGACCATGCTTTTTCTGTTTCTGCAGGATGGATGACATCCAGCTGTGCAAAGACATCATGAACCTTAAGAAAGAGCTGCAGAGTTTGGTAGCAGTCCCAGGTAATAGCTATCTCCAATCAATATTAGTATAATGCTTGAGTGATGCATGGGTGGGAATGGTGTCAGGAACACACCTCTGCCCCTAACAATCAGAAATCTCCCCCCAGGGTTGAGTTTCATATCTCTTTCCTCTAGTCCATATTTCTTTCTTCCTGTTTTCCTTCCCATCTTTAATATCTTGGTCTCCAAATTTCTTTTCATGGTGTATTTCACTGCTCCATTGGCAGCAGCCCTGCAGGTATCACTCAGGGTGTACATTCCTTAGTTCTTGTACTCCCTTGGCAATCTCAAGGGAGCCAAGTGTCAAGGAGATTGTCAGGTAGAAAAGACAGAGTACTGAGATACCTAAGATAAAAGAAAGGAGAGGGATGTATAACCATCACTGTGAATTTGATTAGTTTTTTCCTAGAAATACCAACTCATTGTGACACCTGTAGTTAAACCTACCTCCTAGAATAAAGTAAAGGAGGTTTCTGAAAAAAGCAAGGGGCAAAATTCTGCATTGTGTTTTGTCTTAATTCTCTGCAAATTCACTGCTCTAAGGAGAGGCAGAGTTGTGGGCAGTTTTTCAGTCCTTAACTCCAACTGAAATCAATGAGGAATTTTGCTTTACTACAGCTTTGCTGTTTTAGATCATCCACAACAATCCTACACTGGTCAAGAAAAAAAGTACAGGCAGATCCCACAAAACACTCAGCAACTGCAGTGGGTGATTTATACTAAATATTACTACATGGCCTCTAGCACCCTTCAGAAATAATTTGCTTCTGCCTAACTATTAAGGACAAGTTTTGACTCTCCTTTGGTTACCCTGATTTTTCATCCTACATTTGTTGTGCAACTTTAAAGGACAACTTTCTCCGCAGAAAGGAGAGAGGTCATTCATGAAACAGGGGTCTAACTCAGAGGCCAGATGTGGTTAGTTGTACAAGAACTTCTTCAGTTTTCTTTGCATCCAACAAAAGTAGATTTATAATCTTTCTTACTTTTTCTTTCTTCATACTTCTTAGTTACTTATAGGTCACTTTTAAAATTTCTAATAACGCTGTTGGTACACTACTGGTTTAAATGGTATTCAAAAGGATTATGAATCCTAGAAAGTATCTGAATTATTCCCCTTTCCTTGCCTCTTCTAGTCTGCAGCTTTTCTACCCATACTTTTAAGAGTAGGAAGTACAGTTAAGGGTTGATCAGTTTTAATTTTTTTGGTGGGCTTTTTTTTTTTTTTTTTTAGAAACTACTTTCCAGTCAGAATGTTAAGCAGAGATCCACAGACAGCAGTTTCTCCTTAGTATTTTGCAAATCTCAAATTTAAGAATTAGGTACATGCAGTACCAGCAGCACCACCTTTTGGCAGACTCACAAGAACACTTTTGTCTTAACAAAGACAAAGAAGTTACTGGCATTTACACAGAACTAAGTGCTGACACAGCGTGTACCTACCATAGAAAAATGCTTTCCAGAAATGGGTTAATTCATAACATCTTTATCATAATTTTCCTGCTAGTATACAGATTTGTATAGCAAGACTTACTCTTTGGTTTCAGTAAACACAGGTTAGCCAATTTCAGTAGACATGGGAACATTTTTTTAGTACGGAGAGCATGCAGTACTTTGCCACAATTTGGGATGCGTATATTTAGCAGGCAGTTTCCTGAAGGATATCATGGCAGAGCACATCTCAGTCTGGGAAGAAGACAGATTGAAAGGAAGTAGAAAGTAGCTTCTACCTTCAGCAGTGAGAGGAGAAAATCTCTTGCTCCATAGATGTAAGTGGCAAAGCAAGAAAAAGCAGTGATTTCTAAGCATTCTCCTTTTTTCTCTGCTACAAATTCAGCATTAATCACAGGAATTCTCCATAGGTAACAGCGTAGAGGTCTTGAAATCTTCATAGCAATCAATAACCACCTTCCTTTATCATTTCTAAAAGATAAAACACAGAAAATACATCCCAGGTAAAGCAGCCTTTTGCTATATTACAAATTATTTCCTCTGCTACTGTCAGACCATAACTTAAAATTCTCCAAGGAGTATGAGTTTCTGAGATTGACACTTGCAGAATTTCATTGACTTGAAAATATATTTAAGGTACTTTTATCTTTCTTACTGAGTAATGGATTTATTGCAGAAATTCCCAGCAGTAAGTGTCCTGAAGCCCATGATCCAAAATTAAGCTGTATTAAACAATTATTTTCAAATATCTGATTTATTTAACTGTTTAAAATATCTTACAAGTTCAAATCAGCAGACATAACATAGCTCAGATGCATTAGACTGCAGGTAGCTTGCCTTTCTTCCCACAACTCTTACTGTACTTAATTTTATGGTTCTCTAAACACAGTTCTACTGCTCAAAACCAAAATTCTTGATTTAATGCAAAGTGTCTTCTCAGCTAATCAAAATTTTCAGCTTCTTGGGGAAATATGTGGGCTGGGATTTACCTCTGGCTTTCTCATCTCTGTTCTACTTGCTAGGTTTGAAGATTTCTATCTCCTCACATTTACTTTATAACCTTAAACTACAGCTCTGTAATCCTTAACATTCATGAGTTTTTTCTTGTGACATGCACATCTTTCATGTTGCAAAAATCTTTGCTTATTGCAACCTAGTCATTACAGACTGGCCAGTTAAAAGGACATATATTAATTACTCAGATTTCTGAAGCACAGGGACAATAAACACTTTAATTTATTCTTCCACATTTTACAACTAATGCTATTTGCGTGGATTTGCAGCTTACCTGACTTACCAGAGTAGAAAAAAAAGCGTAGTCAACAGCCAAAGCTGTCATGAAATACAGAGAAATGGTTCCTTTTGATGTGGTCAAAGGGAGTTTGTACCATGGGTTTTAATTAAGCATCCTGGACTGTTTTCTTACCAAAGCTCCATAAAAAATTCAAAGCAGTGTCTTGCAGAGTAATTTAATATTAAAAGCAGGCTTGCCAAGCCCCACAGACTCTCTGGACCATTAAGCTGATCAGACATAACAGCAGCAAGTGGAAGAGAAAAAAGAGGCAGTGACTTGAACTTGCTGGGGTTTTGGTGACTCAGGTCTGAAGAACCACTGACTTAGATCAGTAATTCACTCTGAAACATCTGCAATGTCTACCCCCCAGAATCCAAAGTAATAGTCTCTCTTCTCTGTTCTTGACCAGAAAAAGAAAAAACAAAGATGGAGAAACAGAGGGAGGATGAACTGATTCAGAAGATCCATAGACTGGTACAAAAAAGAGATTTTCTTGTTGATGATGCAGAGGTAGAGAGATTACGGTAAGAACTAAAAGCAACTGAACTTATTAATGAGATTTCACAAGTCTAATACTACACTGGACTGAGTGACAAAAATTACATGAACATTAATGGGAGAATTGGTCCTTTAAAACAACTTACCAAATTAAAAGCCTCCTCCTGGTTCCATAGGAAAAACTAGATTACTGCACTTCTGTGGCTCTGTATGCCATTAATGATTCAGTCATCTCATGATTACAACTGGGTTTGATTTCTTTCTTTCCTACCAGAAAGAGTCTGGGCATTTACCATTAAAAAGAGAAGCATTTTTGCTGTTACCAGAGGATCATCTTGGCATGAGAAGACATGAAATTAAATTCTACAAGGGGCATATTTGTAGACATCTAAAAATCTGCCCTTTTTTTAAAAAAAAAAAACAAAAAACAAAAACCAAAAACAAATGGTTAATGTGGTTGGGTTTTATTATTACTATTATCACCCTGCCAGAGCAAAAAAAAAAAAAAAAAAAGAAAAAAAAATGCAATCACTAACACAGGTCTACCTAACCTAAACCATGAGTTCAGAACATTTAATCTTGTTATCTTTGGCCAAAGTTGCCAAGAAACCTGTGTTCTTCCTCAAAAGTTCATTTCCAGCTGTTGCACTGAGAACCCAACACTCTACAAAAAGTCAGGTTTGCTATTACTTCCCCCATCTCTTTCAACAGTAAAGATTCAAGGCTCATCAATCCATTTAGCCTAAATGACAGTTATCTCTTCCAAAACATTTAAATCCTACGCAAGCAAAGGACAGGAGAGAAGAAAGCTTGCCAGAGTCCTGCAGCTAATCAAAGAGAGCTGGCCAAAGTCAGCAGCTGACGGGAAGCCTGAGCTCATAATGTAATCCAGAGCTCTCAACTGCTAGTTTGATGTGCAAACCACAAAAACCTCACCAGCAGCCAGACAATACAGAAGCCTAACTGTAGGCTACTGAAAATGTACCGCTATGCACTATGCAAATGTGAATACATTAGTGTCAGTTCACATTTGCAGTAAAACCTGAGGCTTTTCTTTAAAACTCTTTATAATAAAATCTTTTTTTCGTTTAAACTGAGGTATTCACCCAGTGCACTCACTGTTAAAGTTTAAGTAACGAAATAGCAAAGAAACTAACATGGAAATATCATTAATAGATACAATCAAGGGTAGCAACACAGTTATTTTATTTTGGGACTAATGCTGTCATCTTCAAGCAAAGAAAAATATACTTGGTTTTGGTAAACACTAATAGAAGACCATGAGATCCAGGTTTTGTCTAAGCCGGCCTTTAAAACTAAGCAGTACGATCACAGCAATACGTATCCTGTGCTTTACTTTGTAGAGGAAACATCATGAAGCACTTGAGGCCAGCTTGAAATAGGTGATACATTACGGTTTAAATCCACTGACTAGGGAATATGATGAATCCAACACTATCAGAGGGAATTAAAGAACCTTGGGGAAAATTCTGTCTCTGAATTCTACAAGAAGTTTGTTACCTTTTTCATTTAGGCAAATATTTTGCACTTTAATAAGCAGCAAAATTAAGTATTTTTAAAAACAACAAAGTGAATTGTTTATTAGTGATTTGATCCTAGCTACTCTAGCTTTTACCATCCTATTTACATAGGAAAACACTGTTATTTCTGTAACAGATTTATTTTCCTTTTTTCCACCAGAGAGAAAGAAGAAGACAAAGAGATGGCTGAATTCCTTCGTACCAAGTTAAAACCCTTAGACAAAACAACACAATCTCTTACAAGTGAGTTCCTAAACATTAAGAAAAACAAGAACAGTAGAAAAAACTCCAAAAGACAAGTGGATGAAAGAGCGTTTTCAAAGGCCGTGCTGGGCCAGCCTCTGCCATAAAATAGGTTAACCTAGCTAGATCATCCTGAAACAAGACAGTGTGTCAGCAGTTGCTGACCACTTAGAATTCAGATGCCAAATTACCCCTTAAAACTGACTGCAAGTCATTTATGTCCGTTTTAAAATTGCTTTGTATTTTTTAAATCTGCAGAGTATATTTGAATACACATTGCCACAACCTGCTTTCATAAGTGACTAGATTTATTTTTGTCAATCATTTTTCCAACTGGTTCTGCAAAAATAACCGGGGAAAAAAACTCTCTTAAGATATATGCTAGGATATCTGAAGCAAAGCTTGCTTGTTTTACTGCAGGCAAGGTGGAAACTAGAGAAAAGATTGCAAACTTCCACAGCTGCCCCAAATTTCTTATATTTTACCAGCATCAACAGGCTTTTAAATCACCTCAACCCAAATCACTTATGGATAGAAGGGCAAACACTGATTTCTCAGAAATCAGGTGTATTACACGATCCTTTGGAGGATTTTAGGTGCAAGTTTCAATTAAAACAGTCACAGTGTGAGCTCTAAAAGTTAACAGATTGATTTTGACCCGTCTCAAACTGAGCTTTTAGGCAGGGAGATAGTACAAGTGACAGTGGTGTCCTTCTTAGAAAGTACATTTCGTCAACCAGCTGAAGATGTTTGTATTCAAACATACTGCCATTTTGTATAGATCAAGATCTTGCTAAAGAGTTTCTAGAAGGATGTGGAATGACTGTGAAGTTCAAGTACAAGGTTGACAGACCTTTCAAGATGCATCACCCTTATATGCATTATACCCTTTTAGTCACGGGGAGCATGACTCATCTCCCTTGTTAGTTTACTCCTTGTCATTGCTTTTCAATGCAATGTTAGAGGTAGACTCTTTTCACCTTGAAAAATTAAAACCTTCCTTTATCTTGTTTTCCTTGTTACGACATCCAAGTTGATGAGAGAATAAACTCTAGCAATATTTCTGTTCAACTCCTTTGTTGGGGTTTAAACACAGTAAGATGACTTTTCATGGAAGGACCTGTTGTCTGACCCTATGGCTGTGAACAGGGGCATCTGGATTGAAGAAGATGCAAGAAGTTTACCCTCCCATTGGGATGTCTGGATTCTTTAGTCTACTCTTACCTCTCTTCCCTGAAGGGATAAGGCTTCCTGAGCAGTTTGAATCCACATACCAGCTTGATTGCTACCAAAGCATTAGATTTATTGTTCAAACAAGAGGTAAAAAATTCAGGGTTTGGAGAGAGGGCAGGAAAGGCTTGCTTTCTTTAAGCCAGAAGTAGGAAGAAATAGTTTGACCAGCTCTTGGTTTTAATGGTATCCTGTTTTGAAAATTGCAGGCAGCCCAGCAGAAAAGAAAGCAGAACCTCCTCCAAGCAAGCCCACCATTGCCAAAGCAGGATTGGCTATTATTAAAGATTGTTGTGGGGCCACACAATGCAACATCATGTAGCTCTGGGCTCTCTACCATATTTGTCTTCAAAGATTTTCATTTAATGAAACTGTATGGTGAAGGGAACAAACAGCATCCTGCTAATGGAATCAAGAACAACTGGTACAACAGTAATATATGGAATGTACAATGGCAGGTTCTTCACTGTTGCATGGATCACTCAACACGCATGCCTAAAAACAAAATAAATCTATATAGTGGCTGTCCAGTGACCAGAAAAGATCTGTAGTAGAGTCAACAAAAACACCCTAGTGATAAAAGTAAATGAAAAGAGGGTATATTTCATCCAGTAAGGTGTAAAACAGCAATTTTAATAGGCCATCAATTTGTAAGAATTTGTTGTCTACTTTTCCCCCTTAAGAAACAGCACTCAAAACATTGCTGAAACACGCCATTTGGGCTACTTTTCTAAACAAAAGCCACAAGTATCAATGCTGTATATAGCGCAACTGATAGATGAAGCAACTTTAGGATAACTTGCGTTGCACACAAAATACTATCAAACTAGCATGATGTTCAACTACTTTGCTGTGGCATTCTTCCTAAAGAATGAGGATCAGTGACAAGGATACTGCAAGCAGAGATAGATTTTTATATCCCATATGATTGTAGAATTACTCAAGTCAAATTTATGTTGTTTGCACCAGAGAAAATAAGTCTCTGGTAAAGCTTTAGCAATCTGCCAATAGATGATGCAGTCCAAAGCTGGGTCATTTCTCTTTTAGATTGCCACCTCACATGGAGTCAGAGAAATATTCACCCAGAGAATTTTGTCCACTATTAGGAGTTACATGCAATATGAGATTACTTATCACTAGTAGGTTGCTGGGAGGAGAGTGGAAGACAAAATTTAACTAATATTTAAACAGTGCTTAAAACAACTATTAATTGCATATTTCATGACCATAAGAAATAGAAACTATGAAGTGGAAGACGACACTGGCAACCCAAGACAGATTGGCCACAAGACAAACATATAAATACAAAAGTGAGTATTTGTGGTAGGAGGATCACATTCTACAACAAAATGGGTTTAAAATTAAGGGAAATACAGGAAGACTTATCGGTGTTTCACCATTAAATGTGTTTCTGGTCTCTATGCAGATTAAGCCTTGTGGAATCTAATATCTTTATATTAGTTGTCAGTAGCTGGTTTGTCTGTGTGATGGTATTCCATATAAGTGTACTGTGATAAGTGTAAATAGTAAAATAAATGTACATGGATCTAATGTGAAAAACTCAGGCTTAGAAATAACAAACAGATAGCAAAGAGTTCCTAGAATAAAGTTTTAAGAGGAACTTTCATTCTGTGAAGCCAGCTAATTGAAGTGTGCACTTATATACAAAGGCACCACAGTTATAAGAAAGGAAAAAAAAAAAAAATTAACAGCAGTTACCCGAAAAGGATGAACAGTAATATTTTTGAGAGAGAAAGGATCTTATTAAGGTTCAAGGAGATAGACACCATCTAAAGTAACTCAGATCATTCTTGTACAAATAAAGTTTAATCCCTAGCATCAGACTGATTTGATGAAGAAAATTTGCATTTCCAGAATCGTTTGTTTCAGTACTGCAGACTCACTTGAGACAAAGAACCTATCACTAAGTTTCTTAGGGTTTAAAGATCAAGGAGGGAAAAAAGAAAAAAAAACAACAAAAAAACAAACACAAGAGGCTTCCACTAAGACATGAAGCACTTTAATTACTTTGACCAAAGACAACAGAAAGAGGACAAAACATATCCAGAGGCTGAATAGTCATATATAGTTATTGCATCCTTGTTGATACCCGCAACATCTCAGTAAGTTTTGTATCTGTTAATATCTACTGTATCTGGTACAGGTTGGACTCTGTAGCACCTGTGTACATTAACAGAGTTACAGGGAAAACTGCTTTTAAGGAAGAATACACACTGGAAGGGAAGAAATACACACTGGTTTCTGTAAAATTCAGCTGCCTCTTGAATTTGCTGCTACCCAGTTAAGACATCAGGCATTATCAGTATCTTAAGAAAAAAGCAGGTGTTCAGTGCCATTAACAAAGGCAAATGGAAGTTTGGCAGAAACCTGTAGTGAAGCACCAAACTTAAAGCCTCAGGAGGATCATCTGTTACAACCAAGTATTGTGAATGCTAGTAATTCAAGGGTACTCAAGGAGGACCTTGCACACAGTTTTTGTAAGGCAATAGGTGACTTAGGCACATAAGTGTTTAAACCAGGCTGTGCTGATGACTGGGGCTATCCCTGCATGCTGCACAGAATCTAGTCTTTGGGAAGAAAAGTGAAATCAGTAGAATGTAGGTTTGTATGAAAAAATATTATTAACAGGAAATGGAGCTAAACATTTCTGGGATGCAACACTCATGAGTAGGCTACAGAGCCCCCTCCTTTCATTAAAATGAAGAAGAGAACACACAGCAAGTATGAGTATGTAATATTCATAAATAGTTAAGCACTGGTAGCCAGTGCCCCAAAGGACTTGAACTACAGCAGTATTAATGAGAGTGGACTTCATTTTCAGAAGTTCTAGCTTGGCTCAGCTGCAAAGTTTTCTTTCTGTAAGTTTGTTTTGTTTTTATTTAGAAAATGCTTCAGTTTTGTTTTTATTTGGGTGGGTTTGGACAGCTTTCCTTCAGTGCACCAGTGGTTCCTTTAGACAGGGGTCAGTGATGCTGCTTAGCAATAAAGTCCCAGATTTTTTAGACTGTGAGGTCAGATTCTCAACTGTGTTTAACACTGATTTACAATGTTCTCCATACAAAACACGGCAGAGCCCTAATGGCTTACTTCAGACATAATGGTTGTAATTAAACAAATTCAACTTAGGAAGGAATTAATTGTGTAAAAAAATATTGGTCCTTGTTTTTAAAAATCAGACTAAACCACTGAGTATTCTCAAGAACAATGAGGGGCTTTAAATTCCACGATCTTATGAACATAGCACATTATGCAATCCCCATATCAGCAATCAGCAGAAAATACCAGACAAGTATCTTCAGGTGACTACGTGCAGTCACTGGCATAATTTCAGAGCTGATTTTCAGATATCTCTTACTGTCTGCAAAGAACAACATTGGTTGACTGAAGCACCCAAAAATCTCTTCTGGAAATCCTGGCTGTTTATCACTTCAGAAAGAAGGCAAGGCATCAGAAGAAGAAGAAAATGTAAGGTGGATTTGACATGCTATTTCCTCTATGAACTGGTAAACATGGCTATATTCAGGAAAGGATCTTGGTCTACTGAGAAAAACAAAAGTGCCGAAGTGCTATTTGTACTAATCACCGATTCTACCAGCAAATGGTTCTCTTGTACCTTCCCCTAGGCTTGCTGAATCTCTTCAGCAAAATTAAATATATTTCCAAATAAACTAAGCTGCTGTGTTACACTAAGCATATGTTTCTTCCTGTTACTGAAAGAAATAAGTGGTTGTGGAGTAGCGTGGGATGCACTTATTGTGCTGCTATACTTTTCAAGAATAGTATTATTATTATTCTGCAAGAAAGGACTAATTTGATAAGTTAGTGATGCTATTTACATGAAAATTAAGGATTTTATCTCACTGAAAAAACATAGTTTCTCGAATGACACTCCAAACAAAAACCACTAAAAAAAGAGCCAATCTCTTTATGTTCTAGATGACTTGAAACCACACTATAGTCCAGCGCACTGCACAGATTAGAAAACAGTTCCCAGCCCTACATAAAGGTCCCAACATATATGACTATCAAAAACATTGCCAAGCCAGAAGGGCTTAACAGCAATTAAACGATAACAAGAAACCCAAAAAACAACAAAAACAGATCAGCACTGTCTGGTCTGCTCACCAGAGTGGTTTTCAGGTGGCACCTGTAAGTGTAGGGCTCTGGAGATCTCGGGGACCAGATACAGCAAATGACATAGAATCAAGTGCATCTAGGGGTAGATCTCATGCTGCTGCTTTGCTCTCATTGTCCCAACCTTCCTCCTGTAGGAAGCCAACACCATGAAGTCAAGATTTATATTAACAAAGTTTTGGTGTCGAGAGTCAACTAAGGAATATCGAACAGCAATGGTGTATCATCTGCACAAGAGGTGTGGAAAACAAGTTTCTCTCCTCCCCCACCTCCTAGAATAAAATAATTTAGCTCAACGCAAAGCTTTAAGCATAACCCTGCAGCCAGCTGAGGAATCCTAAATCAAAAGCCAGCAATACATGGGAGACAGATTGCGTCATCCAGACTTTCTCTGCCTAACTGTACCCTGGTGACAAGTTACCAATGTGTTGCTAACCAAGACACTCTTAACAAGAGTTAACAAGTACTTTCATAAGTATACCCCCTCCACCCTCCAGAAAGAAAAGTACTTTACTTAAAAACCAATATTAAGTTGCATTTGACTGCAGGCTGAAATGTGGGGCTGCAAAAGGTAACTTGGGCACGCTTTCATCTTTGTGGCTGGTGACCATAAGTTTAGGTGTGATTCAGGCTTTGTCACACAGGCATTGGAGCATGTCTTCTCACACAGGCATTAGAGCATGTTTTCATTTGCAACTAAGCAGATGGTTAAGGAGAACCGTTTTCCCAGTATTCTCTTCAGCTTGATCTCAAACCATGCCACTTGGAAATAGAACATTTACATCAGACTGAAATCAGTTACCTCAAATTGTAAGTTTATTCTACAGAGGATGTGTAGAATACACATTCTACCCATATCTTTATCCATATACCCTGCCTCTAATAGCAGTTAAAAATCTTTAAGGGCATTTCATAGGCAGCTCTTGGAAAGTAAGAGTTTGACTACTGGCTCCAAAACCAAAAAGATCTCAGACTTCTTTTACAGTTAAGATTAATTAAAATTCCAGATGAGAATGAATAGACAACCTGCAAGTTAAGACTCACTTGTAAACAATTACCACAGAAAATGTTTCTGGTCATGAAGAATTTTTTTCTTATTAGAAAAGAACTTGAAGGAATGGAGTTCAGATTTTTTTTCAATAAGCATCTCTCTTTCTACTCTAAAACAACCACAAACTTGTTACACAGACAACCCAGAGAATATGTACTCTGCAGTACAGAGTCTTCCAAGATGTGCCGATAAACCAAGTTGCTCTTTGTGGTTTGCTCCTACTTAAAACAATGGAAAATTACAATATATATAGTAATGTTAACACTTGGAAAAAATAAGTGCCAGCAGGTCACCACACCAAGCTCTCACATTTAAGAAGTAGGCTAAAGAAAAGCAAAGCAATTTTTCTTCTGTTTTGACTTTGAAGAAAGGGCAGCTCCCTTTCCCATTCCAGACCCAGTATGTATTCCCAAGCAGCAAAAAGTCCAAGCCACTCTTCCAGAGCAGTCACATGTTACTTAAATGAACACAGTCCTACTCTGCCCCAGCATAAATGCTACCATTGTTATCAAGGTGCATCTTGTACCACATGATCCCATTAATCCTGTAAACGGCTAGCCAAGCAGGCTGCTTTGGAACAGAGTCACATCATAAAAACATTACTTCAAAGGTCCAAAACTTACTCTTCCCTCCATGTGGATTCAATACTTCACATAGGATCTTGAGAACACCTCGGTATCTAGACCTGGATCCAGACAGCCTAGGCAACATCTTACAGTCTTAGAGAGGAGTGTCGTAACAGTAGCATTTCCCTTACGTTTAAGCTTCTATCCTTTACAGCATTATTAGTTCAACTAGACAGAGTTTTCTGCAGTAATACTTCATGTAAGGTTGAACAAATTGTGGTAAGACACCAAGAGATATTTAAATTGATACCTAAAAAGTAAACCTCATCAACTACAGAAATCAGTGGATTATAACAGGCTGGATGTTACAAAAGATTAGACTTTCAAACCTACTTTGACATGATTTAGACAGACTCACTCCAGCAGGTAATAGAGCTAAACAGAGAACTTCCAATTTAGGATTTTCAAGTTACAAGAATAGAGAACTCATGCACTGAAGAGCTGCAAATGATAGCAGCAATGCATTTAACTATTTCTGTCTTCACTTAACAAAACCATCAGATGTGTTTGGTTTTCCCTAACAAACAAATCCTAAGAGTTCCACTGAATGAGCCTTTCAAGTCACGAACATGTCACTGGATTTGAAATGCAAAAAAGTTTTCCTTTATGACAGTACTAGTATTGAAGCTTCTGTAAACACACCTATACCCCACTACTATTTGCTTGTGCACCTTCAGGCCACAAAGCCTTCTGGATGACCTAGCTTTATTTCACTGGGCATTCAAAGCTGCTCTAATAAAACACCATAAACACAGAAGCTCCTTAGCTACTTGACAACATAAAAGACTGCCAAGGTAATCTTATCTTCTGTAACTAGCATAAAATAATCCTAACTGAAAGTCTTATAGCCCTCAATCAACTTATATAGAGCAAATGAAGGTCTATGGAGACATTACATCCAGAGCACAAGATTATCTAGTGAAGTGCAACTTCCACAGGCACTGGTGAACACACTCCTCCTAAAGCATCAGACAGTGGTGTCTTTATTAGCAAAATCAAAGAGACAAGCCACAAGAAAGCAGCAGAGCAATCTTTACCTCAATTTACAACTGCTTATTTTAAAACCGAGTATCAAATGAATGAAAGAGGACTCTCTCCTGGGGGTCATGACTATAGTTTTCAAAATATAATCATCCACCTGTTTCTCTGGCAAGTTCATGCTCTTAGATTGACGTCCAAGAGAACCCATACAAATACATCTTCCCTGCAGGCAAACAAATGACAGATTCTTTCCTGCAAACACCTTCCCTTTCAGGATCTGAGGCAGCATCCTGATTAAGACCACCCTGTCTCATTAATGAGCAGCTTCACTGTGCTCCAAGAGCTTCTGTACTAAGACTGTACCCAACTGCAACCAGATTCTACACAAATGTAATGTATCAAAACGTTTTAGCAGGAGATTTACCTTTAAGAGATCATTTACACATCCGGAGAAAGTTAAGCAGCATGACCTTAGAAAGCAATGGCAGAGACCAGAGTCAAAGAGGGTTGGTGTTCTTGACAACAGAGCAGCCTGGAAGACCACCACTGCAGCTCCCTCAGCATCATCGGCAAGTGCCTCAGCACAGACAGTAATGGAGCTCACCCTGCATTCCTAGTGTCCTTTATCACCCATCAAAATATGCACTGTGCCCAGGATACCAGGAATCTGGTAAGAGTTGCCATCAGGATTTCAGAGCTGGAACATCTGTGAGAACACCAGCCATGCCCACAGCAGTCATCCCAGCACACAGAGCATCAGCGCTAGGAACACCTCAGCAGCCAGGCCTTGCTTCATGCCCCTCCTAGCCCATTCAGTAAAGCTGCATGTAACAGACCTGCAGGGTCTATGTCAGAGCTAATGAAATAATTGCTGGCCTGACAAGCACTCCATTTTATGGCCTGGACTTTTACCAAAAATTACTTCAGGTAAATTGCAGAATACTTTAAGAAAGCTCAAAACCAGCAGAGATGATTGCAGCTAACTGCAAGTTTCTTGGAGCCAATTACCTCATCCAATTTACACTGACAAAGTTGTTTGTTGTTTTTTTTGTTTGTTTGTTTGTTTTTTGTTTGGTTGGTTGGTTTTTTTGTGTGTTTTTTTTTGTTTGTTTTGTTTTGTTTGTTTGGTTGTTTTTTTTTTTTCTTACCAGTAGACTTTATCATACCAAATAGGCTTTCTGGCAGAATGTCATTTTTATTACTTTTGAATCCAGTAACTGAAAAGCTGACTTCAGACTTGTGCCCACAGCATGACATGTAATAGTGCTTTGACAGCCAGGTACTATCTGACCCACTGGAATGCCAGAGTCTTGATCATATCCTTTACTCCAGCATGACTGAATAAGGCTGTAGGCAAGTCAACTCCACATTACGGTCTGTGACATATACTAAGCGGAATGGCTTCCAGCAGTAATACAGGTTCCAAATCTCAAGGTGAAATGAGTAAATGTCAACTCAAAGTAGGGCTGCAACAGCTGATGTTTCTCATAATCTTTCTTCCTGAATTACTACAAAACTTGTATCTGGCACAATGTCACAGATCACAAATTGCTTTGCTCCTGAGCTGGCAAAGGCTGCTCTACAGCCTCCTTCGACAGCCACACAAGGTTGGATTATAATCACTCCAAAACCTGTTTGGCACAGATATATTTTAAAGGAAATATTTTTAAAGCTTTTGCTTTAGGACTGTCAAACTCAACAGATTATATATAGAGTTTCCAAAGGGGTCATCTGCGTCCTCCTGAGCAATAGGAACACTCCAGTCTCCACCAGTTGTCTTGGGACTAAGAACTGTCCCTTATAACTCAAAATACCGAGTTAAGCATCAAAAGTATAAGCCAGACGTTTTTATGTCTTGTCTGTACCTACACGGGCCATCTGTATAAGCAGCATGATCC